TGTGGTTTGAAGGATAATCTTCTAAAAGTTGAGAAGGTACAGGTTTTTTCCCCCTTACGTAGATGTGAAGATATATATATTTCATAACCGGTTGGACTGAATGATACATTTAATCGTGATTCTGCTATAAATGCATGTGTTTGGTATCCCAGAATTTGACGGAATTAATGCAGGTTGTTATCTGTAGTTAATGCTCCTTGAAGACGATTTATACTATGGAATCCTCAGTTTTCGTAATCGCTGGTGAGTGGGAATGTAAAGAGTAGGGACAATGGCATTTTCGTATTCTGAAGGACATTAACTGTAGATTTGTGGACGTCCATGAAAATGAGGGCTTGGAGATGCTAAACAAGAAGGTGGCCAAAGCGTTTGGTTTGTGCGTGAAGACAAAGAAACCAAGTTTAAGTTTCTAGCATGAAGCGGAGGACACAATGTTATCACAGATACGTATGCCTCTTGTTACAATTGATTCTGAAAGCGCTTTTAACAAATTCATAGGATTAAGGAAGGAGAAACTAGGGATGAACCTCTATCTCTCTTTGAAGAATGTTGACGAATGCCGGGATGGAGAAGCTCACGAAATATATAATGATGAGGAAGCATTGACTGTTGGTCTTAATGAGGTTGATGACGGACGGTGGTAAGAGCTGTGGATGTTGCAATGGGAAGTCACATGTCATCGAAATATGTGGAGGGGGTCAGAGATTCCTTCGACACGGTGGGCCTGAATGAAATCTCTAATTTCGGTATGTCGTATGTAAATTCATCTTTCGTCGCTGCCCTTGAGTGTGTTGAGAAAGATGCCTAGTGCAAGGTAATGATGCCTAACTTACAGAGACATATTTTTATCCTCATGATGCGCGTATAAGGGGGGCCACGTGTCTAAATCGTACACAATTTTAAATGTTGATATGGCTCTTGGTTGGGGAAAATAAGAACCTTGGGGAAAAGCGCCTTGCTGTAGTACATAGCCAAACTTGTAGTCATTAACATACACATGATTGTACTATTGATAAAGATAAGAGTGGACAATAATGATAGGTTGAAACAAAATACTTACAAAGAATATCATTACCAGACGTGAAGAATAAAACAAAATAGACGTTCTTCTCGACACACAAAGACAAATAGCTATCCTCCTTGAATAGATAGGACAACATAATAAACGACGTCTTTATTGTCCGTGGATATTACAATAAATAAAATAGACATCTTTCTCGACACACAAAGAGCAATAGCTGTCCTTCTTGAATAGATATGACAAGATAATAAACAACGTCTTCATTGTTCCGTGGATGCAACAATAAATGAAAATATATACATGTCGAGAGTAATGACACCATTGTTTGTGTGATCCTGAAGGACAACATAGAAAAGACGTTATTGTCCGTATACATAACAATAAATGAGAAGATATACATGTGTACTTACTGATTATTTTTTGATCGGAGTTAATGCATCAACTGCCCAATGCCTATCCATCTTTAATACAGGGCTCATGTTAGTCTATAAAATTACAGAATCCTCTGTTTTATCTATTGTGTACGCAACAATTTTTTAGAGATCTTTAGTTTAAAAATTTATGGTAATGTCGTTAATTTTTGCACTACCCAAACACCTCCAAGTTACTATTGCCATTTTACTAGCCAGATCGGGCCATGTGCATGTTGGTCCCCTCATGGTGACATCCAAATCGGGCATGGAATTGATTGCTACTCCTGACGTGTTTCGGGAAGTTTATGTCAAATGTATTGAGTTCCAGCCGTTTCTAGTAAACAAAGGTTCGACCTTATGACCATTTATTGTTCATTGCGCGAGGGCTGGTAACGAGAAAGCAACTTACTTGGAAGCCCTAAAGACCGCTGTTCACGATGCTCGCGTAGATTGAGGTGAAGATTTACTAAGATCTGTACAGACCAACAGTCTAAAACATGCGTTCGCACTTATTTTATTCTTATTTAGAGCGGGGTGTGACAGTGAAGGTAAAGAAGCTATATTCAAATTTGAGGTTAAATGCGGTTCGTTTGACAAAGCAGTCATGGTTGCCCGCTATACGCTCTGGAACATATCTAAGATCGGTCTACGTCACAAATTCGTGAAATCTACTTCTTGGGCACCATTAATGGTACTTCCTCCATACTCGCTTGAATCAGGTTGTCCACATTGCCATGTTGTCCACTCGTGTGAGTCATGTTTGTATTGGTGGTTTCACCCATGGTGGCCAAGTTTTAAGATTCTTCCTCCCTCACGAGTACCTGGTTGCCCGGCCTGCATCGAATTAGCTCCATGCTCGCACTGTGAAACATGGTGGAAACAATCTACATACTATGGCGTGTAATGTACTAGCTTTGTTATTCTCATGATATGTACTAGTTTGCTATTAAGTATCTTCAACATGTTTATGTTTAGTTAGTTTTGTTTAATGGTTATGATGTGTAATATTTTGGATTAATTCTGGCTTGAAGTAAACACAAACTTTCATAAGTAGAGGACATCTTTAAATTAGGTGTCATGCAAAAGAGAGTGGACAACTACTTTGAGTTTAACAATACTTGTAATTTTGAACAACGTTTTTAATTTGATTTGAAATTGAATTTCTTATGCAACCAACATTCCAGAAGTTTCGAACAATAATATTGGTTTAAAGGAGTACTTTTGGCAGCTAATTCCCTACAATTATATTAGTTTATTACGGAAAGTACAATCCACAACCCAATGTCTCCAATTGACCGTCTAACACCTAATGTCAGTTGGAATTATTACAAATTAACAATATTTTAATAAACAAAGAACCCACATGGTTCTCATGATTAGTTTTGGGAAACTTAGCTAGGCACTGTATGACGTGATGTTAGCTAGTTTAGTTGTCCAACTTGGTTTGATACCAGAAGCACTCCTGCTTGCACAAAACACTCTTTACGCGTTTTTACCAATAAAGTCATATTTTTCCTTTCTTAATTAGAGGACATCTTTCATACATAAGGCGACCACTTTCATTTTAACAAGCTTTGTATTTCTTATGCAACCAATATTCGTTGTTTCCCTTAGTGCAACATTATAATGTACAGGATTCGATGACATAATTAATTTTATGGGAAAACGTAACATAATAGAACTTAAAAATTAAAGGAAGATGACTTTCTAAACCACTTTGTCAGTTGTAATCAATGCTACTTTTAAATTAGAAATCAATGACATTTTAATAAACAAAGAACCCACAGGGGTTGTTATGATTACTTTTTGCCACATATCAAGGCACGCGCTCTTGGACGTGATGTGTGGCAATTTAATTGTCATTATAACATAAATACTCTTGTTTACACGCTAATCGATGAAAAGAAAGGTTGTCCTCTCATTAGAAAGGTTGTCCTCTGACACTGTCAAGTGAAAACACCTTCTAAGTGTTATCCCCTGTTTAAGTACATATGACGAGTGTTCTAGGTAAACACACGTAGTGGGAAAAAATTTAACGTTGCGGACAATATTAGAATCGTAGTGGACAACTTAACAGAAAACGAGAATAAGCGTATCACACACTTAGCCACATACTGTTACCAAGTACCGACCACTACAAAGCGTAAATTACAAATCTTCTGACCACCATTGCATGCACTGTTGACATGCTGAATTGACCAAAGCAAACATCCATCCAGGAGTGTGGTCAGGCGGATAAGTAACCAGATGATCACATATTGGGTCACGCCATCATTTACAATATGCTGAACATGATTCCTCCATAATACATAAAGGGCAATCAAGTCCACGGAAGGGGGGACAAAGCATGAAGTGTTGCCATGTGAAGTCAAATAAGACACGATTAACCGGCCCAATTGATTCAATGTCCCAGAACACGCACTGAGACACAAAGACAACGCTGTCTAATGATCCAACCTCCTCCTTAAACTGTTTCATCGCTGGCTTCATCGTAACGTTCAGAAGAACGAAGAATGAGTGCGTATGCAAAAAACATCATTGGTCGGGAGAGACTATGTTACGTAGTAGTTGAGCACTAGCTTCAAGTGCTCCATATGTGATTGCTAGCCGGAGGCTCTCCAGATAACATGCCTTCAGATTCCCTGAAAGAACACACCGAAATACGAAGGCTCGGAACTTAGAATCTTCGTTGAAAAAATTGGGATGTAATGCTGGATACTCAACTGAAGTCGCCCGTAATACGTGAGTATTAAAAGCGAGTATCATACCTCGTTTACCAGAGACAATGAGAGGGCATTGTTGGGCTGCTCCAGTTTTGGCGACAATAATAGCAATAGAGATATGAAGAGTTTCAGGAAGTGAAAACAACAATGAGAAATTATCCATGACCGGAAGTGAAAACAAGAATCACAATTCTAAAATGATTTAATTTGAAAAAATTGTGAATTTGTTGTGTGCATGGTTTTAGATTCTCAAAAATATAATAGTGGTTTAGGTTGTGGATTATATTTAAAAATTAGAATAAGTAGCAGCTACCAATCCCTTTATTTTCTCTAACGGTGCGTGTTGTTGGAGGTTAAATTCACCGTAAAATCAAATCAAGTCTTGATTCACAATAATGTCCTCTCATCATAAGGATGTTAATTGTCCTCACATAACATGCAACATTCTGCTACATGTTGTCTACTAACGATGTGAGGACAAAATGATATTCTCCTCTTATGAGAAATATGGACATCTAACACATCAGCTGCTACTTGATTTTGTAAAACTAAAATATGAACCTCTAACACAAACACACAAAAGGTAAAAGAAGCAAAAGTTATAGAGAAGAATACCATAATTGTACTTAGGATACAAGCGACAATAAGTACTGTTAAAAAAACACATAGTTTGACATAGAACATAATAAAATACGAGACAAACAAGGCTGAGTTCTTTAAAAAACGAATCAAACTGACAGTGGCTCAACAAATTCCTCATAAACATCCATGGCGTATTGCATTCGAAGATCCTCCACCATGTTTTGTGTGATCCCCTCAAATCACAAGCCAACTGCATGTAGTTCTATGAACTTTGCAGAGAGTGGTCCAAGGTCAGAAGGACGTCTACTCTGAGAAACATTGATAGGTCTTTGAAGGACAAATTTTGTTTCCTTGGTCGGATCTTAATTTCCAAGGGATGCAATCACGTAAGGCAACATCTCCACCATTAGTTTCATTATTTTTTGCACATTCTTCTCATCGTGAGCCTCTTGTAGCGGATCAAGAATAGTGATGGTAGACGTCATTAGATCCACTGATAGTCCGATCCAATGGTTGTCTCCCCAATCCTTC